TCATCACATTCGGGGCCGATAGGGGCCAAAAGTCTGAAATCGATAACTCTTTAACAAGCATTATTTTGGTATACATTACTGAAGCAAAAATATTTATCTTAACAATTTACAATTATATATTATGATTTTTACCTCGTATGGCACATAATTAGGGGCCACAAGGGGCAAGAATGCTAAATCTTTGACGCTTTATATCTCGAAAAGGGGAAACATTTTGAAAAGCAATATTGAACAAAAGTTGTTTAGAATGATGGTCTCAACAATGTGCACCCTTTGAATTTTTCCTAAACAGTCCCTATAAGGACTTAAAGGGACGGCCCCTAAATATTTCAAGTCCACATATCTCGAAAACGAAATGAGACTTCTGAATACTTGTTGAACAAAAAGTCTTCAGAATTGCAAGACCTTTCAAGTGATATCAAGAAAAAGGGGCTGACCCCTCAAATTAGGGGCTCAAAGGGGCCAAAAGTCTTTCATCTATAACTCCTTAACGTTAAATATTTTGATATTAGTTATTGAAGCAAAAATGTTCATCTTTACAATCTGCAACTATATATCTTTAAATTTTCATCAAATAATACGTAATTAGGGGCCATAAGGGGCCCGAATGCTTAATCTTTGACGCTTTATATCTCGAAAAGGGGAAATATTTTGAAAAGCAATATTGAACAAAAGTTGTTTAGAATGATGGTCTCAACAATGCGTATCCTTTGAATTTTTCCTAAACAGCCCCTATAAGGACTTTAAGGGACGGCCCCTAAATATTTCAAGTCCACATATCTCGAAAACGAAACGAAACTTCTGAATAGTTGTTGAACAAAAAGTCTTCAGAATTACAAGACCTTTCATGTGATATCAAGAAAAAGGGGCTGACCCCTCAAATTAGGGGTTCAGAGGGGCCAAAAGTCTTTCATCTTTAACTCTTTAACGTTAAATATTTTGATATTAATTATTGAAGCAAAAATTTTCATCTTCACAATCTGCAACTATATATCTGAAAGTTTTCTTCAAATATTACGTAATTAGGGACCATAAGGGGCCAGAATGCTTAATCTTTGATGCTTTATATCTCGAAAGAAGGGAATATTTTGAAAAGCAATATTGAACAAAAGTTGTTTAGAATGATGTTCTCAACAATGTGCATCCTTTGAATTTTTCCTAAACAGCCCCTATAAGGACTTTAAGGGACGGCCCCTAAATATTTCAAGTCCACATATCTCGAAAACGAAACGAAACTTCTGAATAGTTGTTGAACAAAAAGTCTTGAGAATTACTAGACCTTTCATGTAATTTTAAGAGAAAGGAGCTGACCCCTCGAATTAGGGGCTCAGAGGGGCCAAAAGTCTTTTATCTATAACCCTTTTACAGTAATGTTCATCTTCACGATCTGCTACTGTAAATATTTTAAAATCTACATCAAACATTGCGTTTTTTGGTGTCATAATGATCAAAATTTTGTTAAACATAACTGAAGCAAATTGTACGTTTTCACTATTTATATATTTATGAACGAAAATCTCAGTCAAATTCGTATCTCATCTTATCAAAAATCGGACGGAAGACCCACTCGTTGCTCGCAACGAGATCGCATCTAGTTATTATTATTTTTCTTCCTGGGTACTTTTTTGTCCGTGAGTGATCTCCGAAACTACACATCCAATTGAGGTGAAACCTTTTTAGGGTTCATAGGACTGTTATGTAGATTTGCGGAACGAAGGTCATTTTGCGCGCACGTGCATGCACGTGCGTGCCCGTGCAATGCGTAAAATGACCAATATACTTGATATAGCTGTAACTTATATATTTTTTGATGAAATGCTTTGAAACTCAGAATATAAGGATATATTAAAGTGTAGACAAGATGACATGGTCAGAATGCGCATGCATGCACGTGCGCGCATGCGCATTGATTGAAATTACCAATATAATTGATATAGACTTAACTTGTACATTTTTTGATGAATTGCTTTGAAACCCAGAATATAAATATATATTAGAAGTGTAGACAAGAAGACTTGATCAGCGCACACATGCATGCACTGCGTGCACGTGCGCGCGCGTGCAATGAGTAAAATGACAGATATACTTGATATAGCCATAACTTTCATATCTTTTGATGAAATGCTTTGATACTCAGGATGTCAGGATATATTAAAAGTGTAGACAAGATGACATGGTCAGAATGCACATGCATGCACGTGTGCGCATGCGCAAGGATTGAAATAACCATTTCAAATGATATAGACTTAACTTGTACATTTTTTGATGAATTGCTTTGAAACTCAGAATATAAATATATATATTAGAAGTGTACACAAGATGACATGGTCAGCGCACACATGCATGCACGTGCGTACGCGTGCAATGAGTAAAATTACCAAGATACTTGATATAACCATAACTTTTACATTTTTGATGTAATGCTTTGATACTCAGAAAATATAGACATATTATAAATGTAGACAAGACGACATTGTCAATATGCACTTGCATGCACGTGCGCGCGCATGCAATGCTAAAATGACCAATATATTTGATAAAGCTGTAACTTTTATACTTTTTGATGAAATTCTTTGATACTCAAAATATGTAGATATATTAATAGTGTTGACAAGATGACACGGTCTCATGGAGATGCATGCACGTGCGCGCGCTTGCAATGCGTAAAATAACAGATATACTTAATATAGCCGAATTTTTTTTATTTTTGATGAAATTTGAATATAAAGATGTATCAAAAGTGTAGACAAGTTGACATGGTCATTTTGTACATGCATGCCCGTGCGAGCGCGAGTAATGCGTAAAAAAGCCAATATACTTGATTGCCTTATTTAATGAAGCTAACAGGGAATAAGACACCAAACGGAAGTTGGTGAGCGTTTGGGGAACATCTGTAACGGTCCCCGTTACAATTAATACTAGTTACACTATGGTATGTGATCGCCAATCAAAACTACTCGGAATATATTTAGGATAACAGAGACATAAATGTTTGTCGTGAATACTGAATGCTGTATCTAATCCCCAATATTGAAGTGTATTCCTGGAATTGAACAAAAACATGAATTTTTATGCATTCAGTAAAATTTTTGTATGTTTTGAATGACACCGGACGGACATTATCTTAACCTCGAGCTCACCTGTGAGGTAATGACAACGAACTAATTTTAGTGCTTAACTCTGACAATGGTACTGCTAAGGAACTTAGCGTGTTCCTTGCCGTGTAGGCGCATGTCAAAAAAATCTTCTTGTATCTTGTTTGTATGTAGTCATATATTGGCGTTAGTTAGTAAGTTTACCAATATTAAAATTAGATTTTCTAAAGAAATTGGTAACTTGCAAGTCAACATAATTATATTGCATGTTGACATAAATAAGTCGCATATCTACAAATTTATCTTGCATGTAAGGGGCAGAAATATGCCACCATAAGATAGGTATCTTTTCCTTTAAATATTTTATAGTATAGAAAATTCGTGATCGGGCGTAAACGGTTGTTCTGAATGGAGATAAACGCGCGTTTGCAGAAAAAAGCCCCCTTTCACCTCTCGACCAAGTCCAGAAAAAATGGGGAAAAAATCTTCCTAAGACCTTTCTTGTGCACATTTGTGCATCCTAAAACCAGAAATTATACCTTACTAGCTGTCAATTATCCATTTATCACTTAATTATTTTCTAACAGGTTTAATAGACGCAACAAATGAGCCCTTTTGTATACACAATAAGTACTTCGCTTGACCAGGATTGACACCTATGACGTCAGAGAAATGGCGCATAACATCGGCGATGAAAATATGCATATTGAGAATATCAAACTTTGAATCGCTGAAACATCAAAAATATTAATTTCCTAGCAAAGAATTTTAAATATATGATTTAAATAACATGTAAACTTTGTCATATCAAAAGTTTTTGAGACGTAATAAAAAACCCTTTAATAAGGGATCTCATTGTCTATGAAAGGGCAATTCCTTGGGATGTTGGGATTTGAACATAGGAGTCCCTGACCTGTTTACGTCTAAGTTGTGTACATGTATCGAAAATGTCTCTGTACAAGAGTGGTAATGATGAAGATACATACATGTAGTCTATTTAGACAACCTGGTAATTATAAAATCATTCAATTCTATATCATTGAGATAAGATTGAATTATACTTCTCCACGAAATAAATGGAGATAACGAACACTATTCAAGCTCAAAAGTCCACTTAAGAATACACATCAGGAGCAGAGCAAACATCGACCTCTAAAACATCAGAGGTAGGATCAGGTGCTATTGAAGGGAAAGCATCCCCTGTCGATCAGTCAGTACGGCCGTCTGCTCTTTGTAATGACCGGGAATCAGAAAAATTCATAGACAATTCAGGGTAAAATTATGGAATAACACTCTGTATAAAAAGCGTCAGTCAACATTCGACGGGGTTGTTGATGTCCTTATTTCATCATAGCTTGCCCCATTTTAGAAATTGTTCGTACGTTCAGCATGCTCTTGCGTATCGAATCAACTGGGAGATATAAACTCCATATACAGGTTATATTGGTACATAGCTACATAAATAAGGGAAGTTGACTATTGAAAAGTTGAAGTCATCACGTTTATCATAAAGTTTCGTTGTTAGGTTGTCATTAATTTTTTTATTCAAGCAAAATATCTAAATATGAAACAGATGTGTCCGACTATGTGGTGTCTTTTTTTCGAGTTCAAGTCCTCGATATATCTGAAGGTCGAAATGAAGGCCACAGCAACAGATTTATTCTTTTCGTGTGGAAGATTTTGAATTAATTCTGCATCATATGAGTACAAAATTAGGTCTACTTATAACGGGGAATATACAAGTCAGCATATAATGTTGAAGTATCCGCATATAATGTCAAAATATCAGCATATCATGTTAAAGTATCAGCATGTAATGTTAAGATATCAGTGTAAAATCAAGAGGTAACATCACAAAAGTTTATAAACAAGAGACAATAAGGGCTTTCCATAGTAAAAACTTACAAAGTACATCTACTGTAAGAGTCTGTTGCCCTCTTCCCGTATAAGGTTGTTGACCTGTAGGTGTCAGTGTATTCTCAGCGTGACATGTGTATACACCACTCTGGTCTCTCCGTATGTTGTTGATCTGTAGTATATTACTATTTGAGGCTGTTGCTCCGTTTGGATTTCTCCAATACATCCGGTTTACAGCTGGTTTAGCAGTCGCATTACATCTCACTGTAACAGAATCTTTGACTTCCTCTGGAGTTCTTGGTACAAAGGATTCGATCTCTGGAGAATCTGCTAACATGAAATTTGATACTGAACTGTTTAAAACTTATCAGGAATGTGCTAAAGGTGAAAATATACGATTGACAAAGCTTTGATTGCAAAATTTTGCGTATTTGATACAAGGATACCATTCGAGATGTTTTACTTCACGCAATAGGCATTTGCCTTGTATTAACACATACATGTAATCTTATTCATTAAGGGTTGGATTAAGCGGGTGAAAAAATATAAATGATGAATGTAGTAAAATCGAAATGATGAAACAATATAATTAACCTTCGTTTTAAATCTCCTTCTTGTTTTAAATTTCTTTACAGGTATTACTTTTTGAAATTATCTTTTTCTTTTGGCAATTCAAAAGAAATACATGTATCCTAATTTAATGAGTCATACACGTATGTGTGGCAGTAGACTGTAATAAGAATATTGTCAGACAAAACTGAAACAAAATGAGTAATATAATGTTAAAAGAAAATAGAAGCTGCAAGATTTCAACATTAATGAGTTTTTAAGATGATTTATAAAGATGACAGAAGTGGATAGGGGGCATACTGCCTAAAAAGATCAGTTAATATTAGCATCTCAAGTTATTTTTTTTTAAAGATCAGAAAATTGTTTACGATGTTGTCAAACAAGTTCTTGTTACTCATTATCTGGAAACTGGATTTAGTAGTTGAAATATGTATAACTACTATTCATACTGTTGATACTGATAAAGAAGAAAAGAAATATACAGTCTTGTAAAATCAGGCGTAAGCACATTTCGTAGCGGAAGATAAGATATACAAAAAAATATAAAATAAAATACTTATTTACTTATGCACTAAGTAAAGTCATGTTAAAAATTTTTAAGTGTCAAATTGTGAGAGCTTTATTTATATTAATAAAACAATATCAAAGAAGTTAAATGCATTTAATTTGCTTTTTGATTAATTGTGGTGACAAAATATGCAACGATAGAAATTACCCTTAGACTTGGATTAAATTTGACATTTTTATTAATTATGGTGATACTTTGCAAAAATCTTAAGATTTTAAGAGTTTATAAAAACCACATTGCTACACTAGAGATCTAATGTGCATTAACTAAGATAGGATTAAATCATAAACTAAGCACATCATATACCATTAATGATATAGCGTCTTTATATATACAGAAATAGTAATAATAATTATCGGAAAACAAAACCAGCTAATTATGATAAAAGAAATTAAAATAAGTAGATTCACAAATTCTACTGAAATAAAATTTGTTACATCAATTGACTACTGTGGAACCCTTTTAATTTGCTGGGGTCAGTGTTCAAGGACAAGCAATATTTTATTGGTTCATGGGAATTAATTTCGTGGGTAACTTGCATATACCGAAGATTCAATTAATATATATGTGGATAAAATAATTGTTCGTGGGGATGTGTGTTCGTGTTAAGGGAGACCCGGGAAATCAAAATTGGTCCCCCAGGAACAATGATGGTTCCACATTAATTAACCTAAAAATATGGCGTAAAAGGTATGGAAAGCAGAGTATCTAAAATTCCTGTATTCGTTAAAACGTAAAAATTGTTTTATTTCGTAGACTGGAAATCGGATACTAGTACATTGTAGCTAAACCAACTAAGTAGAGGGTAGAGATGATCTAGAAATAGCACGGGGTGATATTCTCAACAGAGGTCAGCTAAAAATAGGGAAAATCAACTTTATAATCGGGAAAAAAAACCCACTTGAAGTTGGTATTTTAGTCCACCTAAACAAAAGGCAAAAACCCTTTCCTAATCCATAGATTTCATCATTTGCTCTTGTGAAAGTGGTATATCAATGGTACTTTGAAATGAAATTGTTAATCATTTTACCTACCTTGGCATTATTTTTTGATTTAATAACAATGATAAGTTTTCTTTCGGTTAAAACAACTTGTTGATAAAGATAGGAGAGCTTGCTCGTTTTTATTTCTGATTTGGCAGAAAAACACCTTCATGTAAATAACATTTATTTAGAAATATGTATTTAAACCATGATAAATTTTTAATAAGAGATTGGCGAACAGGGCTTGCAAAATGCCTAGAGCTTCAAATGTATGAAAGACATATTCAATTTGTGAATTTAGTATTTAAAGTGGAGTTATGAAATAATGACAAATAAAACATTTATGCGGAATTTTCTTTGGAAAAAAAGTTCTGTGATGTAAAAAAAAATATGTGTGGTATTCTTGGGGTTCGAACCAAAGCAATAAAAATACTGAATATTAATTATCTCACTGAGAGTAACACGCCTACCACTACTCTATATCGCTCATGACAGAAACCGGTATTTAAATCATATTTGTGATATGACCCTTGACTAAATGACTTGTTTCATAAAAGAATATTTTTAAGGTATAGTGGATTTTCGCTCCATGTTTTTGTTAACCGAAGAATCTATATTTTTAGTCATACATTGAGGAAAAAGGGGGCAATGACCCACGGAAAAACGTGTTTTAAAGAATTAACCACTTTTCCCCTCTTTGATGTATATGTATGCTACTCATAGTCAAGTAAATTAAATTTTTCTGAGATTTTTGCGATTTTTGGTTATTTTACATAAAGTATATGTTCATATTAATTGAAATATAAAAGAAACTTTGTCATTATTGAGATTTAATTTTTCACTTTCATATTTGTCGCACAGTAGGCATTTTGTTCGCCTTGTTCGCCCATCTGTTTTTGAGTATTCTTCTGACATTTGAGGAGCACGTAAAGCACCAGATGTTGAATTTCGTATTATATTGGAACGATCGAATCCAGTCTTTTCTGTTCAATCAAAAAGATACCCCCAGAAATCCCTGTACTAGCTTTTTTTTCGATCATGAAAGTAGGTTGTTGTACAAGTGGACAGTAGTAAAAACGGTATTGGTGCCGTTCTTCTTCAAGACAGCAGACCAGTAGAATAATGAATATGCATCTAGATTTCACTGACAGCGTCTGAAACAACCTCGGCACAGATCAAGAAAGATGCATTTTCCGTGTTATATGATCTAGAATGCTTCAATCAGTATATTATGGCTTTAAATTAAAGAGACAATACAAACAGACAATAAACCCTTAGGGGACATCCTAAAAAAACCCCTCTTGCAATGGCACCGAAGCGATCACAGGACATTATGAAGAGATGGAACTCATGCCTTTGATTTTGTATGTGTCAAAGGTGCTAACCTAACAATTGCACACTTTTAGTCGTGCATATCTGAAGAGTGAAGAGGATAATTTTGGTGTGAGACTAAGAATTTTGTCGTACGTTGAAGCTTGATTAAACATCTGACACCTGATGCTTGTCTTCTGGAAATTAAAGAGGCAACACAAATAGATGAGAAAATGCAGGCTATCAAGAAAACGGAAACATGTTACATTACTAGAAATTCGTAAATATTTTGATTTTATAGACTCTATATTATATAGGGATGGTCTGATCCTTAAAGGTAAAGCCGTAATAATCCGGAAATCTTTGAGAAAGGAAATGAAGACCAGACTTCACAAAGCTCACTTTGGATGTGACAGTATGTTAATGAGCAAGAGAAACAATACTTTGGCCAGGAATGAATACATATATCAAGCAGTTGGCTTATTATTGTCAATATGATTAATTGTATGTTTTGTATGCATTGATTGTATTTTATGTCCCGTTCGAAAGATTTTCACGTCTTCATATACCGGTGAAGGGGTTCAAATATAGACCTATACTCGGGACTCATGGCCATTGAGCAGTGAGGGATCTTTATCGTGCCACAGCCTGCCGTGCAACAAGGACTCGGTTTTTAAAGTTTCATCCGAAAGACCTGCAAGTTTCAATTCAAAGTGCCGAGCGTTTGGCGAAGGGACAGTGGCTACCTATTTTTTATCGACTTAGGTCAGTCGCTGCTGAGGCTTGATCCAACGACCTTTCCATCACGGAGTGAGCGCTCCACCGACTGAGCTACCGCGACAGTACGGAAAACCAAGGAACCAAAAAGCTCCATTTCCATTGATGCAGCCTGCAGAGGGCTATCCATGGCAGAAAATAGGACTTGACTTGTTTGAGCTTAATGGAAAACATTATTTCAAGTGCATTGGATTTTTTCTCTATGTTCATTTAAATCGACATGCTTACATCTATGACAAGTCCAGAGTAATAGCTATACTAAAGAAATATTTCGCTCGATTTGGAGTTCCAAATGTACTCATTCTGAAGACGGCCCATTTGTAAGCCAAGAATTCCAAGATTTTGCAAAGAGGTGGGGAATCTCTCATATCATATTATAATCTATTCATCAACAGACCAATAGCAAAGCTGAGTCATATATAAACGTCATGAAAACAATTGCTAGAGAAATGTGAAGTAGAAAAGGCAGATCCTTATGAAGCAATTCTTGAACAAATTAAAGGAATACACCGAAACGGAATACTGGTGCTACACTGTAGTCCTGCGGAAATAATGTTTAACAGAAAAGTGCGTGGCATGATTCTATAGTTTCCTCTGAAATTCGAGGAACCAGAAACCCTCGCAATCGCCAGAAAGAGGAACCAACACAGGCAGAGAGTAAAGAAATAGTTTGTCAGAAAGTCTCGTGAGCAGAGTGAATTGGATGTTGGTCAAGCAATATTCTGCCAGCATGTAGAGGGACACAACTTGAAATACAGAGAAATTAACGATATTCTTGTTTTCAAGGCCAAAATGAACTGCTTATCGAAGAAATAGAATTCATGTGCGAGATACCAAAAGTAACTTCCATAGTCATGACCGTTCGCTGAGGCGTTCAATCGTGGAAGATTATTCAAACAGCAAACAGAGAGGATTTGCACAGATCCTATTCAAGTGAACAAACCAAACACTATTTTTAGCATAAGTGAACCAGAAACACAATCCGTTGAACTGACCGAATCGACACCAACTAAACCATTCGAGGAAAAACCTGATTGCAAAAGAAAACCAGCCTATTTGAAAGATATGTTACTCATTAGTGGACTATGTACTATGAGATTAGTTATGTCATTCTCTGG